GCCAGTTCTAGTCCTGGCTCCTCCTCTTCCAATCCTGCTCTCTACTATGGCCTGGGAAAGCAGTAGAAGATGGCCCAAGTCCTTGGGCCCCTGCACCCGTGTGGGAGACCAGGAAGAAGCACCTGGCTCCTGGCTTCAGATCGGCGCAGTTCTGGCCGTTGTGGCCATTTGGGGAGTGAACCAACGGAAGGAAGACCTTTCTCTCTCTCTCTCTCTCTGTAACTCTACCTCTCAAATAAATAAATAAAATCTTTAAATATATATATTTTATATATAAATATATATTTTATATATATATACATATATATATATATATCCCTTGGGGTGCCTGTATTTCATATCAGAGTGTCTGGGTTCAAGTCCCATCCCTGCTTCCAATTCCAACTTCTTGCTAATGCGCATCCTGGGAGGTTGCAGTGGTAGCTTAAGTGGTTGGGTCCCTGCCACCTTCATGGAAGATCTGTATTGAGTTCCTGGCTAGCTTCAGCCTAGCACAGCTTCAGCTTTTGCAGGCATTTCTGGAGTGAACCAAGGGATAGAAGATCTCTATCATTATCTCTGTCTCTCTGTCTACCTATATCTGAATTTCAAATAAAATATTTTTTAAAAGAGGGAAATTTGGACTTAGACACCCAGGGAAGAAGGCTATACATATCCACAGGCAGAGATTAGAGGGACAAGCCAAGGAATAAAAATGATTATCAGGAAACACCAAAAGATAGGAAAAGGCAAGGAAGCTAGCCGGTGCTAGCTAGGCTAATCCTCCACCTGTGGCACCGGCACCCCGGGTTCTAGTCCCGGTTGGGGCGCTGGATTCTGTCCTGGTTGCTCCTCTTCCAGTCCAGTCTCTGCTGTGGCCCGGGAAGGCAGTGGAGGATGGCCCAAGTGCTTGGGCCCTGCACCCGCATAGAAGACCAGGAGGAAGCAGCTGGCTCCTGGCTTCAGATCGGTGCAGCGCGCTGGCCGTGGAGGCCATTTGGGGGGGTGAACCAACGGAAGGAAGACCTTTCTCTCTGTCTCTCTCTCTCACTGTCTAACTCTGCCGGTCAAAAAAAAAAAAAAAAAAAAATAAAGCAAAGAAAAGGCAGTTTCTTCCCTAGAGCTTTAAATAGGAGCATGACCCTGCTAGCACTTAGATTTTTGAATTCTAGCTTCAAGAACTTTGATGGAATAACTAACTGCTAGTTGTTCTAAGCCACCTGGTTTCTGGGACTTTTTACAGCACATCTATGAAACTAATATAGGAATCACTGGCAAGATATCATGTGCTGAGAGATGGGTGGTTTCTACAAATGGGCTGTCCAACAGGATTTCACTGTATATTTCCCAAATCTTTACACCTTTATCCTAGTACTCATTTTGTGACTCTGCAATCCAAAACTAATCTAATCTTTACCTAGCAGTGAGGGATAGGAATGTGTATAGTGGGTGGCAAGAGTGGTATTACATAGATCTGCTTGACTGATAAAAGACCAAAAATTTCTAAGACCCTGCATAAGAAAACAGGTTAGGTGAGAGACTTTCTCTAGCCAAAGTTAATATAATTTATCTAAGTGCCTTGAACTAAACATATACATGTATTAAGAAAATTCTATTTCAACTTTTGTGGCCATTCTGTGGGTGGGAGGGACCAGGAGAAATAAACTACAGTCCATGTTTTCTATCGATTAGGAAAAAAATATTAATAAAGAAAAATGATGAATGCTGCTTCCTCTTACTTTCAGACCAAGGAGAGAGAGCACTACAAATTAACAGACTGTGATTTTTAAAGTCTCTTTCCTGCCGTTTGTGCTGGCTAAATGTGGATGGCCAGAATAGCTGGCCCTCAATTGGGAAAAGCACCTTAAGTTTATGGACAAGCAAAGGTAGACCTGGAGCTACATTTTGTGCTGGAGACAGGAATCCAAGTTGTAGAATGAATTACATTCTGGCTAGCCAAAAGTAATCCAAGAGAAGTGCTGATGGGTCCAGAATGTCTGGGATGACACCTACTAGCTGACTGGGTCTCATGGGAAACATGAACTAGTGAGAGAAGCCCCAGAGAGAGTGGTCAGAGAACTCTAGGATGGCTACACCTTTCAGTCAGTAATAGTTCTAAGTCATCTGTTGTGCTTCAACTCAGAATTGGAGGTAATTCACCCTGACTGTTGATGAGCAACTTGATATCTTATCCCTCTTAGTATTTTTGTTTGTTTGTTCTACTTAATACTTTAGGTTGAATACTGTAATCAATACACAATTCTTCTTAAGTGCTGAAATTTAACTGAAAAGTGATCACTGTTAAATGTAAGAGTGGGAATAAGAGAGGGAAGAGATGTGCAATTCAGGACATGCTCAAGCTGACTTACCTCAAACGGTAGAATTAGAAACATACCAGGGGATTCCAATTCAATCCCATCAAGGTGGCATGTACCAATGCCATCTCACTAGTCCCAGTGATCAATTTCTGTTCACAATTGATCATAATGATAGGACTAAGAACCAAAGGGATCACATAAACAAGACTAGTGTCTGCAAATACTAGCTGATAGAATCAAAAAGGGAGAGACTGATCCAACATGGGAAGTGAGATACACAGCAGACCCATAGAATGGCAGATGTCCTAAACAGCACTCTGGCCTCAGAATCAGCCCTTAAGGCATGCGGATCCGGCTGAAAAGCCCATGAGAGCATTTCAGGCATGGAAAGCCAAGACACTCTGGGGAAAAAAAAAAAACTAAATGAAAGATCTCCACGCATGAGATCCCAGTGGAAAGAATGGGTCATCAAAGAAGGAGGTACCTTTCTCTGAAGGGAGGAGAGAACTTCCACTTTGACCATGGCCTTGTCTAAATATGATCAGAGTCGGTGAACTCAGGGGGCTTCCATAGCCTTGGCAGCTCATGACAAGAGCCTAGGGTGATTACTGAGGCCATAAACAAGAGTGTCAATCTGTTAAGTCAACAACAGGAGTCACTGTGCACTTACTCCTCATGTAGGATCTTTGTCCTTAGTGTGCTGTACATTGAGATTTAATGCTATAACTAGTACTCAAACAGTATTTTTCACTTTATGTTTCTGTGTGGGAGCAAACTGTTGAAATCTTTACTTAATGTATGCTAAACTGATCTTCTGTATATAAAGAGAAATGAAAATGAATCTTGATGTGAATGGAAGGGGAGAGGGAGTGGGAAAGGGGAGGGTTGTGGGTGGGAGGGACATTATGGGGGGGAAGCCATTGTAATCCATAAGCTGTACTTTGGAAATTTATATTCATTAAATAAAAGTTTGAAAGCAAAAAAAAAAAATTGGAGGTAATTAAGACATATTTAAGTTCCCTAATAAAGCCTAGAGAGAGAGGTTCTAGGGAGAGGGATTAGACATAGATATAGGTTTTACACTGTACAGGTTGAGGCCAATGTCAAATCATTTTAAGAGTTACACACAAAATTAAAGCAAATGTACTATTTATTAAAATTTTCATAAAAAGTGATTAATTTTTTAAAAATGTTATAAATCATGACTGCTTGCATTTGTGTAGCTAGTCAAATAGTTTTATACATGCTGTTTATTTAATCCTTAGATTATCCCTATGAAATATTATAGCAAGGAATATTATACCCCATTTAATATATGAGGGACTAAAGCTAAGAGATAAAATAGCTCATCTGCAGTCAAACAAATGATAAATGGCATGGAAGAGACAAGAAATCAGACCTTCCAAATTATAATTAATTGCTTCTTCCACTACACCACATGACAAAAAACGCACAAACGACCTTAAAGAACTGAAGTGGCGAGAAGTTTGGATACAGGGATTAACTAAATCATTTTCCTCACTTTCAATGAATAATGGCCCTTCAAGGGTTTCAAAGGAAAGAATGTTCACTTCTTTCCTAGTTACAGAATAGGGCTGTCCTTTAAACCAGCTTGAAAGTAAAAGACACGGGAGAAATAGGAACCCAGACATTCCACCTTACTCCTACTCAAAACCACTGTCCCCTGGTATGTGGAATGGAAAGAAGAATGAAATTTCAGGCTCCAACAGAATTCTCTGTGTCCAAGCCTTCCAAATGAAAACAATTGTATTTCATCCATCCACAGTATCTTTCAGGATCTACTAAGTTCAAGGCACTGTGCTGAGTTCTAGTGAGAAAGTGGTTAATAATAAGACACAAAAGTAACAATTAAGAAACTACACACATAAATTAACTTTATTACAATGATGATAAACTCTATAAGGGTAAAGGACATGATATTGTAAGAAAGACTAATAGAAAAGACCTAATCTAGATTATTAATAAGTCAGTGAATGTCTTAAGGAAGAGCCACTGAAATGACACATAAAGGGTGAAAAGGAGTCAGCCAAGAAGGAAGTTTCAAAGGGGACAGTACAAGCAAAAGCTTTAAGGCAAGAATAAGTTTTTATTGAATTTTATCTCTTACATAATAATATATCCTTCACCCTTATTTTATGATCTTTGTCATGAATTCCACCTTATGTGATACTAATATACCCACTTCGCTTTTAAAAAATTGTACATATGGGGCCAGCGCCATGGCTCGGTAGGTTAATCATCCACCTGTGGTGCTGGCATCCCATACGGGCACTGGTTCTAGTCCCAGCTGCTCCTCTTCTGATCCAGCTCTCTGCTATGGCCTAGGAAAACAATGGAATATGGCCCAAGTGCTTGACCCCCATACCCGCATGGGAGACGCAGAAGAGGCTCCTGGCTGCTGGCTTTGGGTTGGTGCAGCTCAGTTGCAGCCATCAGGGGAGTGGATCAATGGATGGAAGATCTTTCTCTCTGTCTCTCCCTCTCACAGTCTGTAATTCTACCTCTCAAATAAATTTTAAAAAAAGTATACATGTATTTGTGTGTGTGTAATGTACATATAAAGCAAGTACAATAAATTGTTAAAAATAGTTAAATCTATGTATAGTCATTGAACTGCATTTTTCTGATTTATTTGAAATATTTTCAAAAAATTTAAAAATATTTTGTATATGAAGAACTAAAAACAAACTAGTTAGACTAGAACATGGGAGCAAAGTTATTTGCACTGGATGATATGGGAAGACAATGGAGACTAGGCTTTATGGCTATGAAATTGGGTAGTCATCGAGTTGTTTCAAACTGTGAAGAGGAATAGTATGGTTGATTATTTAGAAAGAACACAATGGCTACTGACTGCAGAATGAATAAGAGGAATGAAAGGAAGTGGGAAAACTCATTCAAATGAAAGATAATTAATGATAATCTGAATAGAGTGGTGGTAGTACAGATACAGAAAACAGAATGAATTTGAAATATTTAGAATTCAGAATCACCATAAGCTTGGTGGCAGACTAAAAGTCGAATGTGACAGAACTACAGATTTCTGGTTAGAGTAACTGAGTAGATAAATTTCCATTTATAGAGATGGAAAATCTGAGAGAAAGAATGGTTGTTACTTAGAGGTTAGAGGGATATGAAATGCTATAGTCCACTCTTAGGTTACTTAAATTTGATATACTGAGAATAAAGGTAAGTGGAGAGTGTCAAGGAAGTATTAGTTAATTGCTTTTGGAGCTCAGAAGAGAAGTTGGATCTACTTACTAAAATGTGGAAAATTATTTACTTTATAAAAGACCTAACACAATAGGAATGGATACAAAATCTTGGGAAAATAAAACAGAAGGCAAGAGAGTCAAATCTACGGGGCTTGGCAACACAGAAAAAGTAATAACAGATTCAGTGGGTAAGTAAAAGAGAGATCCAGATAGAGTGAGTAGAAAGGGGAATGGGAAACAAGCCAGTAAATAAAACATGATAGGCCATCCTTTAGAGAAGATGATGATGATATTGATGTCTTAAGGATAAATATTTTATTAATTATCAAGATATGGAGAATGTATCTGGCATAGCACTTCCCTCATCCCCCTCCTCAACACACACACACACACACACACACACACACACACATATTGGATTGCCCATGACTCGATGAAAAAAAACGCAAGAATAATCACTAAACTCCACCAAAAAGGCAATATCATTACCTGATTCCACATCGAGGGAGTATTTATCAATAGCCAAGTTCATGGTTTGGTAAGCAGTGGTGCAAAAGTCTTCCAGAATCATGTATACAGCATTGTTGACATTAGGAGGGACAGACTTGGCAAACTTCATTCGGCTATTCACCACAATGCTGCCATTTCTGAAGTTCAGGATTTCCAAGTTCTGGAACCCTGTGAGATTTGATTGGAGATAGGGAACCAGCTACAATACATGGAAAGTAGTAAGTTTATTGATAGGCTTCTGCATTTTGTTCACCGCATACCAAAAACAAAAAAAAAAAACAAGAATGAGTCCCTCTCCCACTTTTCCTAATTGTATTCATTTAATTGTATACTTTTAACTTGTTAAACAAAGTATAAATTAGGAATTATTGGAAATATAAATTATAAATGTGCTGTTTAGAAGTCCCATGAAGCTCATAAACAATTTTAGATACCCATAAAGTTTGTTAAAAGATCACAAGAGTAAAGGCATAACAGGGATTCAAAAAAAGCCGTGGTGTAAAATAAAATGTGAAAAGAAATCTCAAACTTCTCTCAGTCACAGAAATCATGGAACGCAGCCTTCAGTATATAACCTGTCACATTATTTTCTCGTCACTATTGTATTTTCCACTTCCTGTATGCACGTATCTCACTGTCTCATGACAGACCTTAGGCCATTGTGTTATTAGTGGGTGATACACAATAAATGTTCACAGCAGATCACACTTTCCTTGATTCAGATCATGTGTGTTGGGGGAGAGGTGGCTCATATCTGCTTATTCTCTAGTGCCCGTGTTTCTCTTTTTGTACTTACCAACTCTAAGAATCTTTGCTCCAGGGCTTTATACTCCAAAGAATTTTTATTAAACAAATCTTCTGAAAACATCATATTAGTCACTCGGAGACTGAAGAAAACTACCAAAGCTCCTGTCATCTGGGTATAACTTGAGTCACCTCCACTAGTGGGTGGAGCCACAACAGCCATCTCTGTGGCGTGAACATTTGTAGACATTTCCACATAACTACCAACCTTGCCATTTTTATCTTGAATTAGCTCAGGCTGATAGTAATCTGTGCCTACCCGGTCCAGTTCTAATGAAATATCCTGTACACCCACAATTACTTCATCCTCTAGTAGGGTGGAGCTCGTGGTTGGAGGTAATTTGCTAGACTCTGTCATGGAAGCTTTCAACCAGAGTCTGTCAGTACTCTGTGGTGTACTTGCCAATGTGTCTTTGGACAATTTCCGTAGAGAAGATGTTCCTTCCCAAATTATATCTGATTCTGGCAAGGCAGTCCACAAAGTTTGCAAATCTGACTTCACCATTGAAATCTTGCTATCAAACTCTTCATGTTTTGACTCTGTACTTTTCTCCATATCCTCCTTTAAGAAATCATCTTGGTTTGCTTGATCAGTAGGAGCAGATATTGCTACAGATGCCAGCAGAAGAGGTGGTTTTGTAGCAGAGTCATGATCAATGTCAGGTACCTCTGATGTGTGTTCAGGAAGGACTGGAGATGCAGGCTGGGTTGCAGTCTCTGCAAAGAAGGGCACAGTAGGTCCACCAAGAAGCTCTCCTTCTGCAAAGTTTGTGGCTCTATCATGCTCATATTCTGAATGCTCAATAATCTGATTTGTGAAATTCATTTTGTCATCTATGACTAGTTCTTCATCTACACCCTCAGTTGGCAAAAGTGAATCCTCATATTCAAGCCATGACTTGGACAGTGGTTCTGTGCTCTTCTCTAACAAAATCTCACTCCATGGCCAAGTAATTAGATCCACCATCTGCCCAGACCCAGAACCAAAACCACTCTCAAATAAGGACTCTTTTTCCATGGGTGTTTCTGGCAGCAAAGGGCTCACTTCTAATTGGCTTTTGACTTTGGAGTCCAAGGAATCCAAGACAAAAGGTATAGTTATTTCTTTAGTAAGAAGATCTAATGTCACAGGGGAAGAGATATATGGTGAGGATGTCAAGGTCACACCAGAGTCTTCCATGGACAGTAGTGTTTCTTTTGGCACAGGCTGAGTCAATAAACTTGAAGGCAGTGGATCAATAGGAAGAAAATCTTCTGACTCCTCAATATTGGCTAATCCTGAAAATAATATTTTCTGTTAAATATACTACAAACTTAAACATATTCCTAGTTCTCTCAATAAAACTAGCAATGTTTTATCCCATTAACTTAGTAGCAACAATTGTTGATGACTACTACTTTGCTATATAGAGCAAACAAGACCCAATGATGTGAGATGATCATTCATGAATATAGCCCCCTCCCTGAAGATGACAACACCTAGAATGTTAAAATAATTCACTTTCAATCATTTGGTTTTTTAAATAGAAAATTTCTAGTAGCCATAAAAAATAAACAGAGACAATCCAGTGGGAATTAAGGAAGAAAATTCTTTAGAAATTATTGTTTTCTTTCAATTCCCATTTCCATTATTTTATTATTCATCATCCTTCATATTCAGGCTATGCTCAAACTTCTAGACTCATTATTTATATCTTTGTTCATCTTTCTCTTTAGCATGTATGCTCCTTTCTTAGTCACATTGATTTTTCTTTTCCTCTACAACATCTAGAAGATCGTCAATCATTAGATTTGAACTCCACAATTAATCCTGTTAAAGCTGCTGGGATAATCTTTTTTGATGCTGTTTGTTTACCACTCCAATATGAAAGTAGTTGTTTAATAGTAGTAGTAATTGGGGCCGCTGCTGTGGTGCAGTAAGTTAATCCTCCACCCGCAGTACCAGCATCCTATATGGGTGCCAGGTTCTAGTCCTGGCTGCTCCTCTTCCAATCCAGCTCTCTGCTGTAGCCTGGAAAAGCAGTAGAAGATGGCTCAAGTCCTTGGGTCCCTGCATCCCTGTGAGAGACTTGGAAGAAGCACCTGGCTCCTGGCTTCAGATTGGCACAGCTCTGGCCAATGCAACCATTTGGGAAGTGAATCAACGGAAGGAAGACCTTCTAAAATCTCCTAAAAAATAGTAGTAGTATAATGTAATTGTATATTCTCCATTTCTTACTATTTACCTATTTGGATTCTCCATCCCAAGGAACTAATTCTGACTGCCTTCCTCTCTCACCAGTTTCTTGAGGCATTTTCTCCCTAATGAATGCTACCAGGCTTTTTCTATCAGCCATAGTCTCTTCCTCTCTTCAGAACCCTTGGCATCTGATTCAATAAGATATGAAAAATGATTCAAGTTCCTCACCATCTTCTAACAAGTGAGATCCAGAAGTCCCCTCCTCAGGAGCCACAGGCAAGTCAGTGTGAAGCACTGCTGGGGTGACAGAATGCAGAGTCAAGCCACTGAGCTCTAAGGCCTCTGAGGAAGAACTTAGGCCCACCTTGGAGGGAAAGGCTAATCTAGGTGAAGACACTAAATCACCCAATGGACTTTCTGGCGAGAGTTCCCTGCCAGTGGTTGAGGAAGGCCCAGAGCTGAAATCAAGTGGTGAAATACTGCTGGTTGTGGATTCATCTGCTGAAGGCCATTCAGCTGGAAGGGTATTATCCTGGAGGGAAAAAAGGCTAAATCATATCATGGATAAAAGGAACACATAAATATGACTTTAAATATCACCTACCCATCTATACTCCCAGGTTTTCTAGGAACAACAGGCAATGTAATCCTGGGGAAAGTGGGGTGGGTAGCACATGGGCTCTAGAATCAGATCTGTAATCAAATCCCAATTCATTTCTGGTTAGAAAATCCAGAGAAAAACTGTTGCAACCCCACAAAACTCACCTGTGAAGTGGAAAACAATAAGATGACATGTTTAGGGATCCTAAACAAGGTCAATTTGGGAGAGAAAATAACTCTCTTGCTTTATAGGGTTTATTTCCCTTTGTCTTTTAGCTTAAATGACTTTAAATACATAGAAGCTACTTGTATCTGTAATTTCTTGGCAAAGATCTAAGCACAAGGTCCACATCAGAAAAGAATTAGCAATTGTATTCATTATTCAGAAAAACAATTTAGGTCCCCTATTTTTATCTGAAATGTCACCACATCAAAATGTGGTTTGTTTCCTCAGATGAATATCTCCACCTATGAAATGACATCACTCTTACAAGATACAAACAATTTCCTCTTTCTAATGATTAATTACTAATATAGTACTAATTGAATCTTAAAATTTAGATTCAGGCATAGAAAACTAGATAGAAACAAAATCCTAGAACATGCTAATTATTCAATCTAATGAAGAACACTCTATGTAAAAAGTCTAATGATGATGCTAAAATAGCCATGGCACTTGGCAGGAGTTTATGTATTTCAATCAACGCTGGGTTATGAGCAGCAAAGAACAAGTACTATGCATGAACATGGAGACTTTCTGGGTGGATGAAAACTGAAAAAGGAAAATGGAAAGGAGTACTCATTCTCAACTCTAAATTGGCATTAAAATCACAAAGAAGTTTTTGAAAAACACAACCCAGAGATTCAAACAAAATAGGTAGACATTGGTATTTTTAAAAGCTCCACAGTAGAGGCTACAGCCTCATCATGTTCTGAGTAGATTATTCCAGCCTGAGCTTCAAATATACTTCTTTAGTGGATACATGGCTGTATCTCTCATCAACTGGAATCTTTAAGAAATATCTCACATTTAAAACCTACCAGAAGATTACAATTCATGGGACAGCTAAGAAAAAAGTAAAGCCAATCAAAATAAAGAATAAGAAACTCTCAACATAATCCTTCCCCCACCTCCACTGGGAGATTCCTATCAGTGGCAGTCAATTTTCACTGACATACACTCTCAAGCCTCATGTGCTTTTTTTGGGGGGTGGGGCGGAGGGAGCGCACAAATTTAAAGTGACTAACTAGAGTTTAGTCTATACCCATGAAATAAAACCTGTGGAGGGAGTCTACCCAACTCATGGTCTAGTTCATCTTTTACCCTTTGCCTACACAATGTCCTTTGTCTCTTCCTCAACGGTCTGTATGAGGAAGATCTGGACTGCACACTTCCAACCACAGGGGAGGAACCATGAGGCAAGAAATCACACTTATTAGTTCCTTCCTCTAAGTACAAAAACAGAAGAAAGATAGCAACAGATCATTGGCTATACTGAAAGATATTCTCAGTTTTATCTGCTTCCTTTCAACTACAAGCATTCTGTCAAAAAACTCATTTTTCATTTGGGGAGCTTAGTGACACCATCACTTCCTGCCTCGTCCATGCTATTTTAATTAGTTTCTGTTGCAAGTAAGTTGCTAGGTTGGTTATTCTATATTTGTCACCACCACCCCATATCCTTCTGTTCTGTTCTGTGCCCTGGAAGGCTGACCCCTCTGAACTGCATCACTCCTGCTCCCTTCTAGCTGTCTTCCATTTGACTTTGTATAATGGGTAGTACAAGCAGATCAAAAGCCAGGAGGTAGGAGAAGTTGGGGTATTTTCTCCCTGCTTTCTTCTACTTTCAATAGTGTGTCTCAAGCAATAGTTGTGCCCTCCACAGTTACAGCCTCAGCTTCCACTGGGCTCTGATAATAGCATTTCTTCCCTTTGTCCTGGAATCCAACAGAGGATAATGGTCTCTTGATGTTGTCTCTGCATATCCCAGCATCCCTGTTTTTGGTCACTTAACTCCATCCACATCTCCATCAGCAGGTAACTGTAACTGTTAACATCTTATACCCCGGAGGAGCCATGTTATACAAATGTTCCATGATTTTATGGTGCCAATTACGTTTATGAAAGATAATAAACTGAGGTTCATAGAAGCAAAATGGTCAAGGTCACAAAAAAAATAGAGAAAAATTCAGAATGAAAGCTTATCTCTAGATTTCTCAGTGCCACAGCTTTTCCTGCTATAATGTGGCTATTCATTCAGAGGTTGCTACAAGTGTATAGTCACAGATGGAGAAAAGATTTCCAAAGGAAAAGCTAAAGCTAACTGACTAGTCGGTCCTTTCTCTGCTGGGTTAACGTATTCTACAAGTCCACACGGTCCAAAATGAACACAAATGGAGCACATTGCTTAATATTCAAATGTCCGTTTGCATAGGAAGAAAAATTCCTTCCTTACCCCTTTATTTTTCTAGTATTTGAAACCACATTTATAATCAGAAGATAAGAAGGCCATTTGTTCAATATCTAGTTCTGTTTTTTAAAAAAGTATAGTTACGGCCAGCGCCGCGGCTCACTAGGCTAATCCTCCCCCTTGCGGCGCCGGCACACCAGGTTCTAGTCCCGGTCGGGGCGCCGGATTCTGTCCCGGTTGCCCCTCTTCCAGGCCAGCTCTCTGCTGTGGCCCGGGAAGGCAGTGGAGGATGGCCCAAGTGCTTGAGCCCTGCACCCCATGGGAGACCAGGATAAGTACCCGGCTCCTGCCATCGGATCAGCGCGGTGCGCCGGCCGCAGCGCGCCAGCCACGGCGGCCATTGGAGGGTGAACCAATGGCAAAAGGAAGACCTTTCTCTCTGTCTCTGTCTCTCACTATCCACTCTGCCTGTCAAAAATAAAAAATAAAAAAAAATAAAAAGTATAGTTATGATAATAATGATCATACCACATTAGTAAATTCATTTTTTTCTCTTAATGATCTAAAACTAGAAATGTGTTAAAGCTAACCATGCTTTCAGCTGAGTCAGGCAAGTTTATATTCTAACAAATTCCAAAGGTGCTTTTCATTTTTTTAAGTTCCAAGTGAGATGACTTAAGTCCTTTAGCTTGTGCTAAAGAAATTTAGTTTTATCAAACAGAGCTTACACTATATCAGATGAACTGACATACATTTAAACAGATACCAAATCCTCAATGAAAAAAATTTTCAAAAAAAGAACAATATGTATTATCCTGGCATATTTATAAGTTAAATGATTTTTTCATTTTGCAAAAGTAGCAGAATAATATATCTTTAATAAAAGTCAACTCAAAATTAACATAAAATGTGAAAATAAACAATTTGACTTTTCAAGTAAAGAAGGAAGACCATCTACTTCCAAATAAAAAGTAGCATTCCTAAAAAATTTCATAGCAATGAAGCTTTCTTATACATTTTGAACAGTGAACACGTAAGTGCCAAGAATAGCACTCCATTTATTTTTATATCAATAGATGTTCCCATAGTAACAAATGAGACTCATGAATTCTTCTTCTAGTTCAATGTAGTATATTGACAAGTTTAATATTATTCTGGCCAGTTTCACTTCTGTTAATGCCAGTTGAAAAGCTTGCTAGTGCTATAGAAAATGTACTGTGCAACAAATGATTTTCCAAGTCGGGATGCCAGAAAGGCATCAAATTCAATATCCCAACATTTCTACCTCTAAAATAATGCTAAAAAATCAAATCTGGTTTAACAAAAAAGTCACTTCTATAATAGAGTAAAATCTCACTAACACTTGAAGGGAAAAAGCAAGGAGGGAAAGGAAAGCAAGTAAGGATCAGACATTTCTAATTAATCACTCATTTTTATGTCTCATTATCACCCATTAACATTCCAATGTCTCTTTAAATTGTTGACTGGTGCTTTGGAGTTATCATTAGTGAAAAGAAAAGTAAGAAGTTGGCTTAAATGCAAATAGAGCCACTGCAACATAAATGCACAAAGGAGACTAGTTAGTCAGTGCTATGCATCATCAAAGGGGTAGCCAGGATCAAGCTGTGGCCACTTTCTGACACAAGGGAATATGAACATCATGCTGTCAGGTCTCACTGATTTTCAGAAGATTGAAAGTTGCATTTTTGCACAAAAAATTGATTTTTAATAATATTTAATATTTAATTAATTTATTTAATATTTAATAAATTTAAATATGAATATATATATACACACTCTCAAAATGCATGTCTGTACCTGGACCTAGACTGTTTGTAACCTCTAGCTTATATGATCCTAAAATATCATCACATATCTCTTCCCATGGTTAGAAAAGTCCAGGTTGAATATGATTACGAGAAACAGAGGCTAATGGTGCTATCACCACCCCTGCCACTACACCCTGAACGGCCTTCCAGGCTAACACCTACATAACCTAATTTGTTTAGAAGTCTGTTTACTACTACCAACTGGAAACTTCTTATAGGAAGGGTCACCCCTCATTCACATTAGTTACCCCAGCATTTGGCACATGAATAGCACAAAACAAATGTATCTGAGTAAAGGAATACATAAACACCAAATGAACATTCTCTTGGATGTCATTTCCCCCCAAAACAAAGATCACAGGAAAGAATCTTTTCACTCTGCAACTGAATAGAAGAGATGGCTATATAGTTCAATGGCTAAATGAATTTGAGACAGGCTTTCTAAATTTACATTGCTAAATTAAAGCCAAGAAACAAGTGGTTCTAACAGTTGATATGAGCCAGAAAAGAAGTCTGATGAGGATAGGAGGAGTGGGAGATATAGATGGGAAGGCAGCCTGCCTACCATGTCTATATGATAATAAAAGATTCCAGTACCAATGGCAGATGGTAAGTCTCTATACTGTTGTGGTTGCAGCTATCATCACTGTTGATTCACTTCACTTGAGGAAGTCTTTTTCTTTTCTACTTGATGTCCCCCCATAAGTGAAATGTAGCTGTAGAGGTGTAGAGGGAGAAGAGGAATTCCTACACTTGAACTTAGCCAAAATGCCAAGAAGCGAAGCATAGGAATTCCTGATGGAACTGGGTGGTAAGTATAAAAAAGAATATTCACCCAATGTTGTTTCTGGGGAAATAGTAATGATTTCAGTCCACATTAAAAGGAGACCTGATTTAGAGCCACTGTCAGTTATCAGCTAGCTGATATTTTTATTCTTCCTTCTCCCTTCCATGCACACCCAGTTCTACATGCTTTAGTGCCCAAATTTTCCCTCACTATAATCCTTGAAATAAATTTCGGGACCTCAACTTATAGTCTGGCTTGTAAAAACATTTTTGGGTAACTTTCAGAGAACAACTCATACTTAATCATCACCAAACAAGTGTGAATAATAAACAAGTTTTCTACCATGTGTGGAGTTTGGAAATGCAGACTTGATTTAACCATTGAAGAAGGCTTAAATTTTCTGAACCAACTCCTAGTACCCATGAGTTGACAACTATGAGTAATATTCCAGGGATGATGCAAGAGAATATTTGAAATGGAAACAGTTTGGGAAATCCGTGATGCCAAAGTAAGCAGATGAGGGTACAAAGGAGAGAAGCTTGACAACCTGGTTCTAGACATAGCCATAAAACATAGAAACATACCAGAATAGGTGTTGGTGGTGCCTGAAGGCTTGGACTTTGCATATTCCAAGTAGAGTCTTCAGTTTGGGGAAGCAAAATTCCTCTCACTGATGAAAGAACATTTTTAGTTGAGATATTATTGTATTTTAGGTGCTGGGATAATTAAAAATCAAGTTCTTTGTGTGTAATTTCCCATTTTCTGCCTATAAATGTTATCCAGCCACATGGCAGCTCTGGAGTCTTGGAGAAACTGGCCTGGTTCTAGGGCCTTCCCAATTCATGAACTGTCCTGTGCTCAATTAAATTCTGTTATATTTAATTTGTATAAAGTTTTTCTTTTAATAAAGATCCTTTTCACTTAGAAGTATGTGGGAGACGGAGACTTTTTTTGCTAAAATACATCCCTGTTAGCATCATCTCTCACATGCACATTTTCCTCTTTAGCAGCTGGTACTTCTACTCTGCCACATCAGTAAAATAAAACCCACCAGACATGTTTTTTGAAAGCTTAACTATTAATGAATGAACAATTCACAGAGACAAAAACATGTACTAACAAGTAAATTAACAGGACATGGTGTCCCTGATGAATGAAGCTCTTGCACACTAGTAGCCAGACTATTAGCAAGTTTTAGTCCCAGATTGGCTGGACTCCCCTTTAGCTTCCATGTCCAGGGACATCTCCCTCTCCCTGATGACCCCAGATCTACCTATTCACTATGGACCATAACTGGAATGCCCTAACTAGCTGAACTCAAACTCAGTTTTGGATTCTCTGTGATTGTGCCCAATCCCCATTATCAGTCCTTTGACCAGGATATCCCACTAACTTCCTAAACTGTTCCCTCTTTTCTGCTTTCTTTTTAGGCATTACTAGTCAATGTACCACTGGACAATTCATGTCTGGATTGCTTAGGCAGCATTATTGGCTGTTTCAATTTGCATATCCAGATATTACAGTTCACTACTGTTCCTTCAACTTTGATCCTCTTTCTAAATACCCTTCTACTTTCCCCATTCTGTGGCCTTTTGTCAACAAGTGGCCCAGAGAGCTTCTGATTAATCTGTTCACAGCATATGTATGGCTAAAACTCCATTCATATTGGGCTAACATCTGCCTCATGCAATCTAGAAAACACTCAGAACCACATATATTTAGGGAAATTAGATTTTTCCAGAGAACATTGGAAAGGAAAATAAAATATATAAGGACTGCATGATGGATATTAGACTCACCATTAACAAGCTGAAGGGAATCAGGATCTGGATTCAAGGAGGAATTCCCCAGCAAAAAATTCTGGTGCAGTGTCTCAGCAATATAATCTCTGAAGTTACTAATTGTATAGACAGCAGTGGGCTTATCATCCAATTCCACAAGGCCATGGTTTTCTACCTTGTTGGAGTGAAGGCTAATGAGGTCCCAGGTGGTATTGCTGATGGCCTCACCATTGAAGGTAACTTCATAGTGAACATCCAGGCCACTACAAATAAGAGAGAACAGATTAAGTCCAGCTGAAGAAGCACAAATAAAAAGCATTAAATTACTGAGAACAAACATTAGGCCTAAAGGCAGAGCCTGCTTCCTTTGTTCCCTATTATCATTTTTCCTACTTGGTTAAAAAAGAAGAGCCATCCTAACTCCTCCCAGAATGGGAATTCCTCTCCCAACCCTTTATTATTTTTTTAGATTAATTATGTGCTAAAACATAGCTATTTGTTGTGGAAAGAAAACTATGAAAAATTTGAAAATAAAGCAGATCAATGATTTTTTAAATCTTTTTTTATCAAGCCCCAGTATCTTTTCCTTAGTTTGTAGATCCTCTATGAAAACTTTTTTCAAATATTTATTTATTTCGAAAGAGTTAGAGAGAGAGAGAGATCTTCCAACTGCTGGTTCCCTTCCCAGATAGCTGCAATGGCCGGGGCTGGGCCAGGTAGAAACCAGGAACCAGGAGCTTCATCCTAGTCTCCCACATGGTGGCAGGGGCCTGGGTACTTGGGTCATCATCTACAGCTTTCGCAAGACATTAGCAGGGAGCTGGATCAGAAGTGGAGACTTCAATGCCCATATGAGATGCTGGCATGGCCAGACTGTGGCTTTACTTGCTAAGAAGGCTTTATCTGCTATGCCACAATGTTGGCCCCTTTAGTTCTTCTGTAAGAATTAACTCACTAGGTTAGGAATGACACAAGGAAAAATTCAGAGCTGAAACCCTGAACCATACAGACTTGAATTGCCCCAACTGTTAATATATCAATTCTAGCCTCTATCCTGGGAGCTCTGCAGGAACTCACAGGCCAGCATCAAAGGAAGTAATATACTATATAAGCTTTAACCCAGACAGATTGTAGCTCACCTTTGCCATTCCAAAAGAAACACACTATCCCCTATTACTGAGCAAATGAAGGCCCTGTGCACTAAGAACCATGCACATGAATTTATTAAACACTGCTCATCCCCGGCTTTGAACTATAAGATTCACTGCCTTTAATACCTTATGGAGCCCAGGAATTGAGCATTTCTCTGCATCTTTTTTTTTTTTTTTTTTATGACAGGCAGAGTTAGACAGTGAGAGAGAGAGACAGAGAGAAAGGTCTTCCTTCTGTTGGTTCACCCCCCAAATGGCCACTATAGCCAGCGCACTGCGCTGATCTGAAGCCACGAGCCAGTGCTTCCTCCTGGTCTCCTATGTGGGTGCAGGGCCCAAGCACTTGGGCCATCCTTCACTGCCTTCTGGGGCCACAGCAGAGAGATGGACTGGAAGAGGAACAACCGGGACAGAACCGGTACCCCGACCGGGACTAGAACCCGGAGTGCCGGTGCTGCAGGCAGAGGATTAGCCTAATGAGCCACGCTGCTGGCCCTTGCTCTGTATCTTGCAATAAATACCTACTTTTCTTCACCACCCCAAAGGCAGTGATTGGTCTGCTGTGCTTCAAATGAATGGACACAGTTTGGGGTTCTATAGCAACTCCTCCACCCAGTTCTGGGGGCTTACGATAACACAATGTTACACTTTCACTAGCATTAATTAAACTATTATCATGAGGACAGCTCTGTCTTAGTCATCACTTTGGCTTCCAATCAGTCTCTGTACCAACATCACAGGCAATAGCCAGCAAGCCACACCAAGACTCCTCTAGAAGAACACTACCTTCCCAGAGATAAACCACTCAAGATAGAATCTAGGAAAAATGAGATCAGTCAGTAATTCATGTTACTGTTTGAGGGAAAGCTCTGTTCAGTATACTGGGGCTTTTTTGTAAGATAGATTCCCACTTGGAGACTGGAGATGGCTACAACAAACAAGCATGATTGCTGATTCTGGCTATTAAGACCACCCAACTTCGTTTTTCTGATTTCAAGTTTGCAAAATAAATTTTTTTATTATAACTCCTCATAGGGAGAGAATTCATGAGCTGGTCAATGGAATAATTGACATAGCAGATAAATTTTTCATTTTAAATAAATCAATGGGGCATCACAGAGAATTCACTGTCTTGTGGTTTGGTGAGCATGAATGGTATTAAGAGATCTTTCCTTCCTGGAAGCACTGGCTGTTCTGGACCTGTCTCAACTTGCATGGTGCACATCTCACCCTGGACTGCAAGGGCCTTAAAGGTGACACTCCCATCTGCTACAGAAGTGGCCAGTCCTCTTTGAAGTCTCTGTATCATCCTGAGTAATGTCAATATTGCTTTCCTGTAAGCTCTGATAAGCTGACCCTTATAATGGGGTGGTTTAGGGCTCTTGAAAGTGTGGTACGGCTGGCGCCGCGGCTCACTAGGTTAATCCTCCCCCTTGCGGCGCCGGCACACCAGGTTCTAGTCCCGGTCGGGGCGCCGGATTCTGTCCCGGTTGCCCCTCTTCCAGGCCAGCTCTCTGCTATGGCCCGGGAGTGCAGTGGAGAATGGCCCAAGTACTTGGGCCCTGCACCCCATGGGAGACCAGGATAAATACCTGGCTCCTGCCTTCAGATCAGCATGGTGCGCCGGCCGCAGCGCACCAGCCACGGCGGCCATTGGAGGGTGAACCAACGGCAAGGGAAGACCTTTCTCTCGGTCTCTCACTGTCTACTCTGCCTGTCAAAAAAAAAAAAAAAAAAAAAAAAAGAATTAAAAAAGTGTGGTTAAGCACTTTGACATCCTAATGTTCTGAACTAAGTGGTAAAAATGTCTTCTTGTCATCTAGAATTTCCCTCAATCTCTCAAGCAATTAAAGACTTTTAATTTTGTACTTCCAAATATGTTGAGTAAATATATAGGTAAATATTTGATAAAGAATAAATACAGCAAATACAGCAATATAGACTAAAATAAGCAAGTGATGGCCTCAAGGTAGAATAAAACAGTAAGAGGGACACCTACTGGTCAGAACTCACCGCACCATGCTGCCCCTTGCTCTTGGGATTGTTCAATCCTTCTGAGGCACTGGCAGACCACAGGCACACATGCACTAATGTCTCTGTAATTTTAAATATACTTTTCTTCTAAAATGCCTGTTATTACCTCCCGCTCAATATATCCTCCACCTACACACATCCTCTTTACCTGGCTATTTCTTTTTTGTCTGAGTTCAGCTATCACCTCCAGTGGAACCTCTTGCTAGCACTGAACATACAGCTGGTGTTCATATTCTGTCTCCCTCACCACTTATATAGGCATAACTAGCTTTCAGATCTGTATCCCAGCCATCTAGCACAATGCCTGGTTCATAATAGTTCAATAAATACTTTTGAAAATAATCAGGGAAATGATCAGATTTGTTCACATATACAGGCTAATGAAACAATTGAATTTGTGCCACTTAAATGATACTATGGAAAACTCCTAACTTAATCTAAAGCATTTTCAATCTCTAAATATAAAAGAACAGCTTTTACCCCTAAAGAGCAATGATATTATCTTTGCACACTTGTATGGTCTGAGTAATCTAAATTTTAAAGACATGGTTTCACAGTCACAGCCTAATTTTGTGAGGATGACCCTGTTTTTCCCAGCTTGTTGAATGGACCATACTTTATATCCAGAAAAATGGGCTTCTCCCTGGGATTTTTGCACAATCTAGTAAAATTCTATTGTTTGCATGACTGTAAGATAGGAAACAGTGATTTAAAAAAGAAGAAGAAAAAGCTGTGCTAATTAGTCCTGGAGTTGGTTCCTGGATTATCTAGAAAATCAGGGAAAACAAAGCATGAGTCTACCATATATCTTGTGCGACTTTTAATTAAATAAAATGGGGGAAAGATCAAGATAATGTTCCTGGAAGAAGAAATCTATGCAAATAAGGCAGTCTGGATTGGTTTACTGGCCCTACACTTTACTGGCAAAGCATGATTTGCTCCCCAATGTTTCAGGTGGCCATCTAAAATAAAATTTCTGCTATAATTTATCATGTCTGGTAAGAATAAATTCATTAAAGAAGATGAAACACCTAAGAGATGCTGCAATTTATTACCATTTTTTATGTGTGTGTGTGCTAGAAAGAGAACTCAAAGAAGTGTTTGAGGTACCAGGAAACCATCTATTCTCAAGGCCCAGAATTTCACTGTGACCCAGAACAGAATGAGTTCTGGCACAGTGAATGGAGTACAGAGATGTCTCAGGATGGGGAGAGATCAAAAGAAAGCCAAGAGGCCAAGGAAGAACATAAGAAGCAGAATACACACCGGTAGACAAAACATCATCTGATTGAAGAAAAAGCTCTACTGCCTCTCTGTACTCAGCATTTCCTAGTCAAACAACCACCATGGTATCATCTTTCAGATTCTCAACTGGACTGAAACAGCTGCTGTGCAGAGGAGAGTTTCCGTGTCTGAAAGCTATTTTCAGAGACATCGGTTATGTGGAGGTCAAGTTCATCCTTTCTTGCTCTCTCACCTCAAATGCCCTTATTAGCTGTTTGGCATGTGCAGATTTTAAAAAGGAAAAAAAAAAAGAGTAGTAACACATGTCAACAAGACCAAACAAAACAATATTTCAGAGAAACTCAGATATCACTTCTTTTGTAACACTTCTCCCGGGAAGAAAATGTACATTTCCAAAACCCAGAGCTGAATTTCTGAAGTATATATATCAGATGGACCTATTATTGATTCACTTCAAATGGGTCTTACTAACTGAACATAATGAGAGCATCTTGAAAGAAGTACAGAGCAAACACAAAGGTTTATATGCATAAAAATATCATGGAGAGATAAAGGGAGGTAATATGTACACTATTTCTGTACCACATAGTCATTCACACACATTCATAGTATAAGCATACCAAAAATAACTAATAACTCTACCAACCACCTGACAATGCTGAACAATGTTGAAAACTGTACCTAGGTTAACAATTCTATAACTTAAGGAACTGTTGTCTGTTTCCCTACAGGACTGGTAATACTCAATAAATGGTTGCCACTCTTTTGATCATAGAATTAACATTAAAGTTTGGGTCATCTGAACATTCTAATCACCCAAAGAGCATCACGATTAAACAACCAGATGTTTGGGGCTGGCATTGTGGCACAGCAGGTTAATCTGCCACTTGTAACATCAGTACCCCATATCAGAGCACCAGCTCAAGTCATGGCTGCTTCACTCCTGATCCAGCTCTTGTCTAATGCACTTGGAAAAACAATGGAAGACAGCTTGGCTTACTGCCACCCAAGTAGAAGAACAAGGTGCAGTTCCTGACTGCTGGTTTCAGTCTGACCCCATGGTAGCCATTTGAGGAGTAAACAAGCAAATGGACAATGCAAATGGACAATCTCTTTCTCTCTCCTCTCTCTCTCTCTCTCTCCCTCTCTCTCTCTCATTTTCTCTCTTATTTTCTTTCTCTCTTTCTCTGTCATTCTGTCTTTCAAATAAAAAAAACTATATAAATCTTAAATCAGGTGTTTGGTTAAGTAGTGACTATCAGAACATACACTATAATATATACATATACACAACAGTTTATAATACTTTGGAAGTACAGAAATCCATAATCATTTTGGTCAAAATATCTGATAGATACCCAATAGTCATATAATTCACCTCCAAAGGAATATTAATCTCATATTTTAGTATCCTACAGGGATATTAAGAAAATAAAATTCAAAAAATCAGAAACTAGCATTCTGACATGATAGTACTTTTCATTTGAATGCATGTACCTAGAAGATCTAGAGCAAGAGTCTTTATTTTTGTGTGCACAGGGTTTGCCCAATTACTACCCATTTAATATGTACTCATTAAAATAAAGTAAATGAAATGAGAAAGTCAGAAGGCCTTTTCCAAATATATTACAAAAAGGAAATGCTACAATATCTCTAAAAATGCCCATAATTGACCTATAAATTTGCTTGTAAATGCCATGTTATACTTACCAATCTTGTGAGATAACATGAATTCAAATAAATTTGGAATTCAAATGCAGAAATGATAAGCAATTTTCCAAAGGTTATTGATTACACCTTTATATTATTCCTTAAAGAAATTCCAGGGAATAACTGCTTTTACAAATGAATTAAAGAGATCAGCTCCTTACCTTTAATTTACAACTTAAGCTACACTTGAATACATTATTGAGTGATACAGTGTATTTGAAAATATTTACAAGAATTCACATTATTAGTCCTATTTTAACTTAAGTATAATTCAACGTTTAAAAGTATCTACCAGTTAGCGGTCTATAATAGGGAACTGTGCACCACAACCTGTGTGCTAAATCCATGAGTTGGTGAATTTTACATTTTTAATTAGTTGTCATGTGAAAATTATATGAAATTCCATTTTCAGTGGCATAAATAGTCTTAGGGGAACACAGCAATGCTCATTTAATTTACAAAGTGCTATCTGTGTTGACTTTCACCTGAGGGTGGCAGACTAGAGTAGTTGCCCTTGAGTAGCTTCAGAAATCATATGGCCTGCTAAGTTTAAAATATTTACCATCTGACCCTTAACAACAAAAGTCGCCACCTCTGATCTGTAAGGAGATAGTTAGTGATAGTGGAAGTGATTGAAGAATTGATCATGCTCCTCTGGATCTAGGGTTGCTGCATTTTCTAAACTAATTCATGATTCAATGAACAACACAGAAAGCACTGTACCTGACATTTTCCTTGGGGGACCTGAAAACAAAAATAGAAAGCATTAACCGGAATTCCTGACAATTATAACTGTCACACAATATACCAAAGCACAAGTTCTCTGTGTATTTCTCTTGATTTTCTTTGAAGTGCATCCTTAAATAAAAATAGTTGCATAGTATCAGACACTGACAATTACCTATAGATTGATGGAAGAGAATAAAGGGGGAGAAAATATTCCATTTAAAATCAATAGACTTTATTGTCTTTTAAGCTTTGCTTAAAAATACTTTTAAAGCAATTAATATATGTTTATCTCTTTATAAACAAACACTTTACAGTACACCTGAAGACGATTTCATTTGTTGGCATTAAAACTGAGAATCTTTTTTGAGACACATTATGCTAAGTAGTAGTAAAATAAATGAAAATAATAACGGATGTATTGACCTATACTAAAATATAACATTGAGAAATTTCAGAACCTTACTAAATATTCATATGAGAGAGGGGAAAAGACTCATAAATCAAATACTCTTTTAAATAACAAAGAAAATGGAACAATAACTTCAAAACTCTAAATGAAGATTATTTCCCAACTAGAACCCCATGCCTAAGCAAATCATCCATCCAGTAGGATGGTCAAATAAGATTTTCAAACATAAACAGACAGTGAAATTGTCTCCCATATACTTTTTTGCATACTATATAAATGAGGAAGAAGATCAAGAAAGAAGCTTATGTGAGCCACAGTAGAGAAGAATGGCATCCTTTGTTGTTTCCTGAGCCTAGACATGAAGGGGCATTAATCAAGGAATGGGGGGATAGAATAAGCTATGTAACAAAAACAGGAGATTAAACAACAAAGCAAAAAAATTATGGATCTCCAAAGTAACATCCCCAAGCTGAACAATCTAAATTGGTGGGACATTTATGCTTCCCTAATTCATTCAGAGACCCAAGTTCTTCTGTCTTGTTGCTCACTCCTATCACTGTACTTTTCTGCATATACAAAAGTCTCAGGATGTATCTATGTTCTAGTTTGTGAGGAAAGGATGAGCAGAAATTCAGAGTAAGCAATTAAGGCAGAAGTTTACAGATACCAATTCCATTCTTAAATCATCAGTGATAGCTTAGTCACATAAACACTCCATTAAGAAGAAAGGTTATAAAATATAGTTCCTAGCATCATGTGACTAGCTTAAATTATTTTATTATGAAACAAAGTAAAAGCAGACTTTGTGATATAGTTTCCACAACAGAGAACAAGCAGTCCAGAGTGAGTGAGTTCAGGAATGTGATGTTCCCGTTACTAAGTATTTACTCAATAAATGTTTATATGTATTATGTTGCAAGTCTTAAGTGAGGAAGAAATGTCTTTTTAAGAAGTTCTCTTTCAACGGGAATCACTGTGCTCTTACTCCCCTGTAGGATCTCTGTCCTTAATGTGTAGTACTATGTGAATTAACAGTAAAACTAGTATTCAAACAGTACTTTACACTTTGTGTATCTATGTGGGTGCAATCTGTTGAAATCTTTACTTAGTATATACTAAGTTGATCTTCTGTATAAAAAGATAATTTTAAATGAATCTTAATGAAGAATGGGATGGGAAAGGGAGTAGGAGATGGGATGGTTTGTGGGTGGGAGGGTGGTTATGGGGGGAAAAACTGCTATAAGCTAAAAATTGTACTTTTGAAATTTATTAAATAAAAGTTTAAAAAAAGTTCTCTTTGACTTGCTCAAAGCTATGATATTTGAAATAAAGTCTAAAGAGTCCCTTATAGACTGACCTTATGCCAGGTTGTCAAATCACCTTAACAGAACATGAACAGGCTTTTTAGGAAGGTGTTAAGGCCATCACACCAAATGAGAGCTGTGTAACTTGTCAGCAGTAAACTTGAAATACAAATTCCTACCCCAGACCAACTACTGACCTAGTATGTCTTCTAGAATGTATTATTTTATCTTCTTCTAACTCTACTTCCTTACCTGAAAAACTAGAATTGAGAATACTAATTTATCAGAAAAGACATTGAATTATATTAATGAAAATATTTGTTGCTAGTGTATACAAGGGATCTTCAAAAAGTGTATGGGAAGTGACTGTTATGAAAAAAACATACCCAAAATTCAAAACATTTTTTGCACCAAGCTAAATTTATCTTCTAATTAATTTTTCCATTTGCTTTTAAAGTAATCTACATGATAAACAAAGAGGATATTCCATCTGGAACAGAGTACTATCAATCATACATGTTTATAAAATCTAGTTACCTAAATTGAAGTACATGAATATCCTTGTAGCCTGGTAAGCCAATAAATGCATTTTCAACCTGTTAAAAATAAAAATTGTAAGTATGCAGGACTGTGAAAATTATATAGAAAAATCCTTTGAACAGTAAAATGTTCACTGTTTTCAGCAACTAGAAGTTTGAACACACACACAGCTGGAAAGTCAAAATTACAATAGTTACCATGTTAAAAAAATTTTTACCACAATACTGCCACATTTTTCTTTTTAATTTCATCCTTCCAGGTTTAAATGTGCTTTAAAATTAATTTTTCCCAAATTATAAAAAATATATTTAATGGCAAAACACCGCCTTTTCATTATGTGATGAAATGTAAAAAGAAGTATCCATTTCAAAAGAAACTACAATAGCATTTTTAAAATTAAATTATTATTGTTTGGACTAGACTTCTCATTCCAGTACACACATTGACCAGAGTCAAGTCTGTGTTTCCTGTAAGTATGAAAGTGTCTGGTGCCATCTGTTTCCTGTTCCTATGAGGCAGAAGAATGATGATCACTCTCAGAATTTGGAAGAAGTCTACAAGCCCTGAACTGGCCCCAGGTCAGAGGCCCTGTAGATTGGCTGGTATCAGGGAAGGTAAGAGGCAGTGTCCAGATCACTCGACCGGTCAAAAGATCAGGTTATGAGCATCACATTCGCAGCAGCGAGTTTTACTGAGTCTTTAAAATTCAACGATGTAACTCCTTGTGAGTTTAATGATTTGAGGAGATGAAAGAATGCTAGATTGGATGAAAGTCTAGAAATAATCAAGTTATGCAAAAATACATACTTTAACAAAACTGACCATCTAAGCCATAATACTGCAGAAAGTGACTCACCAAATGGGTCAGTACATAGCCAAGACCAGAACAAGGGAAATAAATTAATGGATTTTGAAGACATCTGTAGGCATCTGCTTTTAACCAAGTCCTCAGATAATCAGAATAGTGGGACTTTAAAAGAATCTTGGTTCACCAAAGATCATCATGCCTTACAAATAAAAATCCAAACTCATGAAACATCTTGGCAATACAACTACTTTGCCTTGTTTTACTCTCTGAGAGGAAAAAGAAAGGTGCTATAATTCTTGTGAGACAGAGGAGGGGGTAGAAGTTTTAGAACTAGGAATTAGAAGACTGAGGGTTAGTCCCAGAGCCCTGTTTTTGTTGGCAAAGTGGCCATGCACAAATCTTCTTTTATAGAACAAACATTGCTCTATCCACCCACTGCCAGTTTTTATAAAATTAAATGTGCCTGAAAGTACACGTGTTGTCCACATGTACATTTTTATCACTAAGCCCATCTAGACCTAGGCTTTGTCAACTCTTGCCAGAGCCTAAACATGTTCAGGTATTCTAATTCATCATGTTAGCTATGCTAAAGGAGTTGCAAGTCACTCACTTTATTAACACCAGTAGTAATAACAGGTACAATTTATTGAGTGACTACTATATCTGGTGCTTTGCAATATTACTTCTAATCCTTGAAACACTCCCAAGATAGATGGATGATAGACAGACAGATAGATAGATAGATACCCCAATTCTATCAATGACAAAGCTGAGATGCTAAGATGTCAACTAACTTGGCCAGAATCACACATCTGGTGAGAGAGGGAATCATAATTTAATCCCAAGTTCCCCTAATAATGAAACCTGCATTCTTCCTACTGAATTACATTGTCTATTCCTCCTTCTTCTGCCTCATGACAAATAAGTTTTAGAATTAGGACCAAGCCCAGGAAAACTGTGAAGTTTACTAGAACTTTTCATTTGAATTAAAATGAAGGGGACCTTCTAGAGTACAAAGGCAACAGTACTTGGACTGGCGAGAGGAGTCTGGATTTGCATCTTCTGCTCAGAGAGGCTGAAATAACCACGAACAGTTTGACCTCCTGAACCTCTCAGTAAAATGGAGGTGCTTATCCACATGGCTGCTGTGAGCAAACAGACAGAAAGTAGCCTACAGAGTATACAGCACTAGACAAGGACGTTACATTGTTACTGTGACTGACTTCTGGTTCTGACACTAACAAGTTTTTCCCACTCCTTTCTCTTCTGACATAATACTTCATATCATCCCAAGCTTTTCCTGTCCTCTCCTCCTCTTACTACGCTTTTCATTAAAAGGGGGTAGGGGGCTGGTGCTGCAGCTCACTTGGCTAATACTCCACCTGCGGCACCAGCACCCCGGGTTCTAGTCCCAGTTGCTCCTCTTCCAGTCCCGCTCTCTGCTGTGGTCCGGGAAGGCAGTGGAGGATGGCCCAAGTGCTTGGGCCCTGCACCCGCGTGGGAGACCAGGAAAAGCAACTGGCTCCTGGCTTTGGATCGGCACAGCGCACCGGCTATAGCTGCCATTTCGGGGGTGAACCAATGGAAGGAAGACCTTTCTCTCTGTCTCTCTCTCTCTCTCACTGTCTAACTCTGCCTGTCAAAATAAAGGGGGGGGGGAGTAATAGCTCTTGAACCTAATCCTTTCCAAACAGCTATCTGTATCTTCCAAGATGATCTAGGAGGAAATATTGAAAGAACAATCCTCACGACTGCCATGAAGGGAGAGCACTAGAGGGCTGCCCTCATTTTGTAGTAAATATGATGACAGGATTCCTTCAGAGACACCACCTCCACCTCTGTTGTTCACAGAAAGAAGTGGCTGTTGGTAGACATTTCCCTCAGGTAATAAGGGGATGGAGGGTGCAGAGACAGGCCAGAAAAGGAGGTGTGGACCCTGATGCTTCATCACTTCCAAACCACCTAAGCCAATAGCTACCTACCTCATGAAGTTCCCATTGGAGATGTTTGTCAGAGTACTTATTAGCCTTCCCCTAAAATGCAACCATGCCTTGCAATTGTTTACCCAAACATGAAGGCTTATTAAATGTTCCTTAATCCGAAGGCAGAGAGAACCAGACAGCCAATTCAAAACACTATCTGATGCCAGGTGGCCACTGCCTGGCTGACATTTCTTCCACATACCATACAGCCTTGCAACTTGGCCACACAGCTAGGAAAATGAATTGTCTGGACTTCGCTCCCCATGTCTGATGGTTGCAATGATGCTGTTTGGCTGAGAATTGCACATTTTTATTTCCCATCTGGACAGAGTGTCTGGGGAAGGAAATTAATCCAAGGTAACAGAATTGACAAACTTGGCCAAGGAGAACTCCACCAAGAGGGAATGGAAAAGAAATAAACAGGAAGAAATGATGTGCCCTGTCATCAGACAGGGAAGTGTAGATGGGAATTCAGTGCCTTTCTGTACAAGAGCAATGATACACCAGAAGGTGGCAAGTACAAGCATTTTTTGACTGAAAGAATTTGAGTTCAAGTCCTATATAGAATTCTTCCAGAAAGTAAAATTATGGGATGTTCTAAGCCATCATTGTTTAAGGAAATTCTTTTTCAAAAATACCTCCAATCAACTAGCTGAAATCAGAGGGAAGTGTATTTTTCACTAGAAGCTCTTTTATGCTTCTAAAATTTATTCCATGTAATATCTATGTGTCAACTATTCAGAATCTTTCATTTTTAGAAAGGAATACTAAAGGTGAAATTTTTAAAGACCAAATTTAATATTCCCTCAAGAAAAACTGTATACTAATTCATATATACTCCTCAAACATGCTTACTTCTCCAAATATTATCAAGTCAGAACAACCCACAGAACATATTCTTCCTGGCTGTGCAGCTAAAGTCAGAAATAGCATTTATTTGTTAACAGATGGAAGGATTTTTTTTCTGTGAAGAGTTTATCTGTCTTTCTGTGAACTTTTCACAGAATTTTCTGGAAAAATGGCTAAGTCACCAACCCAGAAAGCAAGTAGATGAACAACTTCAATTTTACACCTTCTTTTAAACATTGCTGTGAATACAGAAAACTTACATCTATACCCAGGAAACTGTCTTACATATCAAAAAATCTACATAAAACAAACAAAAATTACCCACCTCTGAAACAAACTCTTCTACAAGGTGCTGGTAGTGAAAGCTGGAGGGATCCTGGAGTTCTTCCTGGTATTGCTTCCCCAAAAGGTGGATGCTGAATTCTGCAATCTGTTCAGCTGCTGGTTCTTTGGGTTCATCTATCACATTCTCAATTTCATTGCTGATCTGGATTTTTAGACAAAGAACAATAGATGTTGATGTTTATTCATTCACCCAACAAGAATTTATTGATTGCCTTCAATGTACCAGACACTGCCAGAAGCAACCTATGATAATGACTTTTTATATAGCATTTAATGTTATAACAAATCAGGAGGACTTCAAGGCACATGACTAATATTAAAATTACTGTGCATTTGTATATTCTTTTTTTTTTTTTTTTTTGACAGGCAGAGTGGACAGTGAGAGAGAGAGAGAGAGAAAGGTCTTCCTTTGCCGTTGGTTCACCCTCCAATGGCCGCCGTGGCCAGCACACCACGCTGATCCGAAGGCGGGAGCCAGGTACTTATCCTGGTTTCCCATGGGGTGCAGGGCCCAAGCACTTGGGCCATCCTCCACTGCACTCCCTGGCCACAGCAGAGAGCTGGCCTGGAAGAGGGGCAACCGGGACAGAATCCGGCGCCCCAACCGGAACTAGAACTCGGTGTGCCGGCGCCGGCGCCGCAAGGCGGAGGATTAGCCTAGTGAGCCGCGGCGCCGGCCTGTATATTCTTTTGAACATACACTGACCAGGGGAAGGTAGACTATTTCCCAAAGGAAATCATCAGATGAGTTGACTGTGCTATAATTATTGCAGATGGGTACTTCTCAAACTTCTTGGTCCCTGAGCTCTATCTTAAATTCTTAAAAAGAACTAGGGGCTGACGCTGTGGCATAGGGGGTAAAGTCACCACCTGCAGTGGCAGCATCCCATATCCACACCAGTTTGAGTCTTGGCTGCTTCACTTTCAATCCAGCTCTCTGCTATGGCCTGGGAAAGCAGTAGAAAATGGCCCAAATCCTTGGGTTCCTGCATCCCCATGGGAGACCTGGAAGAAGGTCCTGGATCCTGGCTTCAGATCAGCACAGCTCCAGCTGTTGCAGCCATTTGGGGAGTGAACCAGCAGATGGAAGACCCCCCCCTCCATCTGCCTCTCTGTAATTTTGCATTTCAAATAAATAAATAAATCTTTAAACAAAAAAAAAAGTTAGTGGCAAAAGTGACATTGTTTACATTGTTGCAAATTTTTTAATCTCTGCTTTTGCATTCAATTAGTTTCAATATGTTGTCTTAGTTGAAATACCTGAAGAAAGCCTGTCCACACAGATAAATACTGGGGAATGGAGGAATAAATTAGTAACAGTTTTGGTAATTGTGGATATTGTATTTTGATACCACTCCAAAATGAACAAGTGGCACTTTCTCAAAAGAGTTGCTATAGAGAATCAGAAACCATGTATAAGAAACTTTTTGTAGTCTGTAACATTAAAATCCAGGTCTTCCACTGGCCAAAGTTGAAATAATTTAAGGAACAAAATGAATATTTGACTATAACATAAGGAATTAAAAATTATTGCTGGATTCTTAATAAATGCACTCAGATATGTCAAAAAAGAATTAAATACATATGAGTGCATGTTGATATCAATAAAAGAATAAATAAGTGATATTTGAGTGACAGGGGCTTCTTAAGAAATTAGGTAGACTACCACTACTAGAATACAACAGTTTTAACTGAAGTATGTGAGATATATCTGACCTCATTTAATATAAGCCCTTCCACTTTAATATCTTCAAACCAGTGACTGGATAGGATAAATCAGTTAAGACTCACAGCAAGCCAATGGCACAGTCAGGAATAGAACACAGGGAACTTTTTTCATTGTATCATTTTTTCATCCCTGCTGGATTACATAGTTAGAGATCCTTAAAACTTCAGAATGGGGAAAACCCTCAAAGATTTCATCATCTCTTCTGAAGTCTGAATTCTGTCTACAATTTCCTGGGTAAATGGTAACTCATTATCAGTTTAAAAAGCTATGCTAGAAATAAGCAGACTACAATATTTCTAAAAAGCTTTCATGGCTGGAGAGTTCTCAACATTAAACCCAAACTAAATTCCTGTAAGTTCCATGATCAATCTAAGTCCTATAACCTGGGACACATATTATAATCTGTAGTCATTGAGACTGCTTCAAATATGGACAGTCAACTATCTTGTGTTCCCTGACATCTCACCACTTCCTCTGGTCCAGATATTTCTCAGACTGGTAATGTCTTCCTTAGGGAATAGCAGCCACAAATGAGTTCTAATCAATTATATATGGTCTTATGGAAGCTACCATAGAACTGTTTGACTATGTGTGCTTTCTGGAAGCCATGAAAGGGTACCCCAGACCCTGCCATGTGACTGGCAGCCCCAAGAGGCCCTGGAGCATCCTAAGAACTTAGAATGCTGTGGTCCATGCCAGTGAGCAGGGAAAGCTAATCTTACTGGAATTCTCATGGGTTAAAAGCCAGTTCTGCCTGCCACGTGCTGGGTGACTTTGAGACAGCAGCAAAATGGAACAGCCTTCCCCAAGGGCTGGGCTTCATGTTGCGTCTTCTCAGGGCAGCTCTGGGTTCCGAGTGTAGTGCTGTTTTCATTGTCATAT